CGGTACTAACCAACTCACTAACTGCACTTATTGCAAAGCAATGACCCCTTGGGTCTACTCTTAAGCTAAATTATTTATTCACAATTGCTAGCGAAGATTGAGCGATCCTGGCCTATACTAAATAATTCGTGAATGAACGGATCGTTAAACCTAAAATTAGTTTATGAAATCTGCAAATTAAATTTTTTAGTTGTAAAAGTATTTATTATAAAAACGAGCTAAATATATGATTAATTGCAAATACTTATCTGTCTATAACCCTTAATACATATACTAACCCTTCGATCATAAAAAATTTAAACATGGCTTACTAACCCTACATCTTAAAATATTTCATGTCTCAAAACACTTGTATTAAATGTTCTTAAAAATTCATCTCCAGAAAAAATTGCAAACAATATTAATATACCCGAACTAGATCCATGTTTTTTATGCAACCAAGAACTTTTTTTATATGAAATAAAAAAGCTGATTACTTTACTTATCTGTGGCCATCTATATCATTGTGATTGTATCGAAAGTTCTATAAAAATTAATTCAACATGTCCAAGACCCGATTGTAATAAGGAGATAGAATCTATGAATGTCAGCATACCTGGAAGTCAGGATATCGATTTAATGGAAATGTCCCCTACGATATTTAAAAGCCCTCTGTTTACCCAGAGTGATACATCAAAAAAGCATATTAATGATCTCAAATTATTTCTGGATAAACCATCTAACAAAAAAGCAAAGAAGTCGGTTAAAAAAGAATCACATATATTAAAAGATTTTATAAATGAATTATCTACCGAACCCGAAACTTCACAAGTTTCTGTAACTAGAAAAGAAAATACATATGATTTTATTGATTTGTATAATAATATAACACATGCAGAAACACAAAATGAAATAACAAATTGGGATGTTATAACTTGCTATTATCTTTTTGGTAAAGCTCTATCAGAACAACTTAAGCATCACGAGAAAACAAATCCCCCATATGCTTCTTTGTTGCTAGTTAATAAAGAAGTTAGAGAGCAAATTCCTAATATTATGGATACTATATTGTGAAAGAAGGTAAAAAGATCACAAAAGCTTTATACGCTCTTTATTAATATTGGAGAAGATAAAATTCAAAGAGTCAAATCTTTTAGTGCTTTGATCATTTCCAAATTAAGGCAGGAGGATATTGATAATATTATACTTAGCGTTTTGAAACAAAAAAACTAATCTACTGCGCCAATCACGTGTGGTCACATGTTCTGACCTCAGCAGTCAGGAAGTTTTATATTTTATATTATACAACTCACAAATAAAATTATTAATATGCATCTCTTTAATTAGTATCTTGTTTATTTGTATCATGTATTTACATATTCCTAATGATATCTGCCAGTATAAGTTCGATATCCTCTGCAAACCTTTGAGATACTTGATTGATCAATCCCAGTTATGTGTTGTGCTTTAATTAAGGATGGAAATTCTCGAAAAGACCCATCATCAAAAATCTGCTTGATAGCACATTGACGCATCCAACCATCCTGAGGCTTGAGATGCACTGCATGTTGTAAATTGTCTTTTGGTGTATACTATTCGAGATTAGATGCTTTGTTATTGGTAGAATCACCATCAATCTGGTTTACAAATTCTTTGCCTTTTTCTTTTGGACAGAATGCTAAAGCCACCAAACGATAAACATGATATTTGTGAACATGACCAATTCGGTAATAGCTAGCATACAAAGATCACTGGGTGATTACGCCATTTGGAAGCTGAATTCTGCTAAGGATGAAACTTTAAACTTTTGCGAATCAATCTCTATTTCTTTCTATTCTTTATTGGAATCTGGTTCTATGTAATTTTTATAATATGTCCAGCACCAACCGCCAGCAGTATCTCGTTTTCTGTTACAATATTCCAAAATTTTATTTTCAAGAACTTTAAGAGTATTATCAGCAAGGCAAATAGAATTCCAAATCCGAATAACATTTCCATCTAATGTTTTCTGCACGATACGCCTAGAACTACCATGATCACGATTCAGAAATATTTTATGTTCTGCATTCTCCTTAGGAGTTACCCATTCTAAATTAACAGCCCGATTATCATGTTTGATGCTGTTAATATGATTAATGTAAGGCTTATTTTCTGGGTTAGAGATGAAGGCTTGTGCAACTAAGATAGGGATGCCAGTTGATGTACGAATACTATTAATGCTTAAGTCAATCTGTATATAACCACTTCTTTTGCAAACATTTCCTTTTAAAACTACACCTTTATTGTTCTTGATACGTCCAAGATTAGATATTAATTTATTCGAATCTGCTGTAGATAACCAAATTTCTATTATTTGCTAGTTATGATGAATTATTTCTTTAAATGCTACATGATGCAGTAGTTAGATATTTATTTACTGTATACTGGATCAGGTCCTATCAATTTTTTATGTAGTTTCGATATCAAAAAATAGAAATGAAGTTTCACCCGAATTGGGCTTTAATTGTTTTCAGCGATATAAATTTTATTTCTGAATTTCATAATCCAATTTTTTTTTTTGCTAATAGCAATATAAATTTTATATTGAGCATAGTGGTTATACAATAAGATATCTAAACTAATTATTATTATTTTTTTTTTTTGATGTTAAGGTGGCCTCTTGGCCGGCTCCTTTTATTCGGTTATAGTTAACTTTTT